TTTCGAATGTGAAGACGAGCGGTTCAGTTCTCTCGGTTCCACATCGTTTGCATAAAAAAAGCCCCGTCGGCGACTCCATTATGGATAATTTTGAGCCGTTATTCTTATTACTTGAAAAAGCACCTTATCCTGGCCTGGGAATAAGAACCTTCGGAACCGTAGGATGATTTTCGACCTATACCGTGTAAGCAAAGTAAGAGTTTTTTTTAAGGCATGCATCCGATTCAGAGGCACAACTGATGATCCAGTACATCCAGGAACAGATGCCAAAAGAAATGCGACGCCTGATCGGTTTAATGCTTCACCGGAATCCTGCAAAGAGGCCACAAGCATCATCGTTGGTAAATTTTTTGAACTCTTCAAAAGTTCTGCTTATTTTTGTTTGAATAGTATTCGTCTCAGTCAGCGCAATAAATTTCTGAAATATATAAAATTTGAAGCATTTCCGAATGCAATCTCTAGCTGAAGTTTCTGGCGCACATTTACTTCTTGGCCAAGATACTTCTTGGCCAAGATAGACGTAACTGTTAGCTTCATTTTCACTTGTCTTATTCTAATGGTGGTTTTTTTATCCAGTAAAATCCTGAGTTTTCCGTCGTGAGTTCCTGGAATATATAAAATTTGGAGCCCTGCAGCATACAATCTTCAGTTGGAGTTTGTGGCGCATATTTACTTCCTGGTCTAGATAGACCGTACTGCCCTTCCTACTTAACTGTCAACGTCATTTTCACTTATTTCATTCTGATGCTTATTTCTTTTTATCCAATCAAATTTTGGGTTTTCCGTCGTGAGTTTGTGGAATATATAAAATTTGAAGTCCTTCTGAATGCAATCTCTAGCTGAAGTTTGTGGCGCACATTTACTTCTTGGCCAAGATAGACGTAACTGCCAACATCATCTTCATTTATTCTAATGCTAGTTTCCTTTTATCCAGTCAAATTCTGGGTTTTCCGTCGTGAGTCTCTGGAATATATAAAATTTGAAGCCTTTTGCATACAGTCTCTAGCTGAAGTTTGTGGTGCATATTTACTTCTTGGGCAAGGTAGACGTAGTTGTCAACTTCATTTTCACTTATTTCATTCTAGTCCTGATTTATATTATCCAGTTAAATTCAGAGTTTCCCTTCATGAATTCCTGGAATATATAAAATTTGAATCCGCCTTTTGTACAATCTCCGGTTGTAATTTGTGGCGCATATTTACTTTTTGGACAAGATAGACGTAGCTGTCAACTTCGTTATCACTTATTTCATTCTGATGTTGATTTATTTTACCCTGTCCTTTACTTTTTTCCGGGCTTTCAGCTTCAAAAATATGCACCATATCTGTTCCCGCCTGTATTCGATTTTTTCCTCTACAAATATATGAGTGCTTTTCGACCGAAATATGTACAAACAAGTGTATCATTGGAGGAACCACAAACGTTCATAACAATGGATTCGGATGACGTAATTGCAAAGTATTTTTGATTTTTTCTTTTTTTTTTGAAAAATATAAACAGATTGTTTGGGGTATATGTTCTCCAGGGGGTATTATGGGCAAAATTTTTTCAGTTCTCCTGAGATTCCTTTTGAAATTTTTGTTTGTTTTCTGCAGATTAGCATCTGATTTGGATCTAATTATGGAGAAACTTTCGGAAAAACCGCTGGTAGATGGAAAACCGATCGATCAAACACCAGTAGCTTTACTTGTTGTTGCATTAATTACATCGAATATGCGAGCACTGAAATCACAGACAACGAAATTTGTAAGTTATATTTTGCTATTTTATATTTAAGTACTGTATTTTGGTAATTAATTCGATATTTTTGGTATTTTAGTATTTAGAGTTTTGTATGCCTTTTAAGATATATGAATGAAAAAAAAATTTTTGTTTCAAAAATTAAAAAATAAATTTTAGGAAGCAATGAAATTATTGCATAAATTTGTACCGATAATGGGTGCTTCTGTTGTTGCTGATCGTATACTGCCATATATGGTTTGTTTTTTAGCGCATTTCGTTTTTTTTTTTCTTTTTTTTTGCATTTTGCTTTAAATACTTTAATCAGCCACCGGTTTTATCGACTGTTTACACTGGTGACATTTCATTTTAACATTTCACATTTCATTTGTAGCAGCTGGCAACTTCTCCATTCTTCTCTATTTTGAGCTTTTGTTGTCCACAAGTGTCCAGGTTCACTGCACTTACTCATGTATTATTGTAAAACTGATGACCTCATTAATCCATTTTCTCCAAGTTTTCATGACAAAAAAATGTTTCAGGTTGACATGCTCTC